CTCTCTCTCTCTCTCTCTCTCTCTCTCTCTCTCTCTCTCTCTCTCTCGCTCGCTCGCTTGCTCGCTCGCTCGCTCTCGTATTCCTACTTTTATACTTATTTCTAACATTTCTCGCCGAATGTCACTAATTGTCATGAAAAATATGAAAACCGAAAACAATTTTAAGTATGTGATATTTAGTCTTTCGAGAAATTAATTTTATAGAAAGGAACAACTGTGGGAGAACGTTTATGATTGTAGGCCTCGTTACAATTGACGGACAATCGTAAACCATGCGGCGTCATCTATCGGATAGCCCCGTCGACAGCCAGTCGTGTCTGCACGTCGTTCTGCTCCAAATTGTTTTCTTTATGTCGTTTTCTTGTTTTAATTTTCTTTTTCATTATCGAGTACGCATTTACAGTGATTAACCTACATCCAATCTCAATAATAACGTCAGAGCTTAAACGCATTATAGTGTACACCAGGTCTATAGGGTTTAACTCGAACCTGTGTCGCATAATTATAATAACATTTCTGTATTTTTATTCGTTTAACCAAAGAAACTTTAACTTATCTTTGATTTACAATCTACTATTGTTATCGTTAGATTGAAAATCATTTATTAGCCCGTCAATATCCTAACTATAAAAATATTATACATAGAGTAAAGAGAAAGAAAACTGCGGTCCCCTACCTGTCTCTGTTTGCCAGCGCATATTTATATCATTTTTATGTTAATAATAAATGGCTATCGTTTATACTTTTAATAATGAAGTATATATTTTACATTTACATTAATAAAAACAGAAAGATAGAGTACCACGCTTCTTTTTCTCTTTCTAACGGTGCGACTTATCTTCATGAAAATAACATTTTGTTAATCAGTATCAACTTCACGTATCCAAAATTCCTCTCGTTTATCGCAAATAATTGCGAACAAATGAAATTCATGGTTAAAACTGGGAGAAAGGTTTACGAAAAAGTAACTGTTTTAAACTATTATATAAAAGTATTGACTGAAACAGTTCTAAGAACTTAAAAGATGTTATAACAGTTATACTAAAGAAATTCATAAAAAAAAATTTTTTTTAACAACTTTTTTATCAAGTTAAAGTGATTTTTTCACCCAAAGAACTCGTTCTTTTTTTCAAACTTGCAGTAATTTCACATTTTACCATCTTTGCAGGTTTTTCTTAGTTCACATGGAAGAAAAATGTATGAAAATGAAAATTTCTTTTGGTTTTTTTTGTGTCAAACCAAAATTACGACCTGCATCTTTCCCGCCGATAGGAGGTTTTAATTGTGAGGTGCTCCACAAATGTGCGTCACACTCGACTCAATTTGAATATTTCTTGTTGACAAAATTTGTACAGACTACTCAAATATGTATGAAAATAGAATAAAAAGTTCGATAGAATTAATTATTTTTTTCCGTTCTCAAAAAATTCACGAAAAACCGCTTTTTTTAGACCTCCTAATTCAGGATACCCACTGAAGCAACCAATTGCTTTTTTTCCTAAGGGGATTAGAAAGCTTCCGATCTGACGAGGAAAATGTATTTCTATTGAAGAAAAGTACGTAGAAAAATAAGGCGCTTCATTTGTATTTGTATCTATCACCAATAAAGTTGTGTACACAAGTTTCAGTTTATATTTGAATGACCCTCGTAATACTCGTCGGCGTATCTAATTCGAAAGCCACGGCTATACCCGCAAGCCTGAGTTAGTATCATCCATGAAGAATTGATCAGTGAAAACTTTAAAAGGGCATTTCACTGTGAACGCACAAAAAAAGCATATTTTCAATAATTTTTTTCTCAGGATTTATTGCATAAAATTGAATGAATGTTTTTCCCCCTTAAAGGTATGATTAAGGAAAATAAATACAAATTTCTTTTTTCGTAAAATATATTTCGTCATTTATTTACAAAATAATATGCATGTGTGCAAAAGAAAAAGTTATCCGCTGGCGCAGGTGTTTTTGACTCTCCTGGTAATCTGAAACAGAAAATCGAAAAAGTTTATTAAACTATGTTGTCACACGTATGGTCGGAACATCCACTTATTTATTTCATCGAAAATAAACAAAATGGCAGCGTTTCTTACGAAAGAGAGAAAAAAGAAACACTTTTTTTTGTACCGTAAATCAGGTGAAATTGTAAGTAAAAATGAAAATGTCAACTACTTGGAGGTTCCGACGATAGGTGTGACGACATAGTTTAATAAACTTTTTCAATTTTTTGTTTCAGATTACCAGGAGAGCCAAAATCACCTGCGCCAGCGGATAACTTTTTTTTTTGCACACATGCATGTTATTTTATAAATAAATGACGAAATATTTTTTACCACAAAAAAGATTTTTTATTTACTTTCCTTAATCATACCTTTAAGGAGAAAAAACATTCATTCAATTTTATGCAATAGTTCCTGAGAAAAAAATGATTGAAAATATGCTTTTTTTTGTGCGTTCACAGTGAAATGACCCCTCAAATTTCTTCAGTGGAATATTCGTCGAAAGCGATTTTTCTGGAACGTTCATCGAATCTTAATTGTTAACATCAAGCGTTCAACGTGTTGCAATCAGCTTCTCGTGGATACGTGCAGATCGCATCCGTTTTGCTGAAATGGAGACCCTGCGGGCATTTCATTATGTACGGTATTCCGTTACTGCATTTACAGAATTTCGAACAATCTTGGTGTGGCAAATGCACGGTGTAGGGTAATGAATCGTGCGGCGGGCAGGTATCAATGCACCCCAGACCGTGTTCAATATCGTTACGAGAGTTTAGATCACACCAACGATTGACTCTATCTTGCGCGACGCATTCGTTCCTCTCGGAATCGAATAGTAATCCTTTTTTGCAATTTCGAAGAATTTTGCTTTGCCCGTCCCTCGCGCATTCGTAATACTTGTCACATTGACACTCGTGTGGCAACAGTTCATTTGGCTCGCATAACAGTGAATCGCTATTTCCCCAACACTTGGCATTCGCATCCTTGTCGCACATTTTCCTCTCGCGATTGAAACGCAATCCTTCGGTGCACTGTCTAAGAATTTTCATTTTCCCATCCTTAGAGCATTCATAATACTCGTCGCATCGATACTCATGGGGTAACCATTCTCCTGGATCACATATTTGCGACTTTTCTTTTCTCCAACATTTGCTTTTTACAGGCGCGTCGCACTCTTTTCTCATGTAATCGAATATCGATCCTTGATCACACAATTGTAGAGTTTTGTGCATTCCATCCGCGCTGCATATGTAGTACGTATCGCAACGACACTCGTGAGGTGTTTTATCCCCTGGTATACAATGTTGCGTTACCTGACTGCAATTCACGTACCGAGGCAAGTCGCACATTTCCTTATCCGGATTATATAGGAGATTTGGGGAGCATTCCTTTAACACTTTCCTGCCATTTTCACATTGATGATACAAAGAACAGTTCACGTGATCAGGGAAACGAATAATACCGCAACGAAAATCCGTGGAACATTCGGCGTCTTTAGATGAATGGCATTTCGTGTTTTCGGGTAAATCGCATATTTGCAATAGTTCGTTAAAGTAATGGCCATCGAGACATTTACTAGGTTTCTCCACACCGTTTAAGCATTCGTAATACCGATTACAATCAGTCTCATGAGGAATTTTCACATGACCCGAGGGTGGACACCGTCCGTTTGCTGAAGGATCGGTAGGCTTTGTAGGTATTGTAGTTATCGTTGACGATTCCGTAGATTCTGTGGGTTCTGAAGTAATCGTTGGAAAGTCTGTTGTAGTAGTGGATGAAGAAGGTTCAATGGGTCTCGTACAGCGAATCTTGTCCTGGTCACCGCATACTTGGTTGACGTCATCAAACACTTCACCCTTTGGACAAAACTGACGAATTAGTTCTCCGTCCTTGCAAAGAAAATACATGTTACACATGCATTCGTGCGGTAAATATACAATCTCATGAGAACCATTCGCTGGACATCGAGACGTGCGAATTTTATCCGTATCGTTGGTATCAAGCAAAGGGTTTGTAGTTGGCAAAACGAGATTACAATCTGCTATTTCTTTTGAGACACATTTTTTGAGTTTACGGTCGAACAGCTCCCCGGAATGACAGTGTCTGAGAAATGCATCCCCATTGGAGCATTCGTAATATTCGGAACAGCTGCATTCGTAAGGCAAAAGCATAGTCTGAGATGATCCCGGTGGTGGACACTTTTCTGGGAGATTGTTACAGGTCATGTCTTGGTCAATTCGACACCGCAGCTGTGCAGGATCAAACAACATTCCTTCGTCGCAATATCGCACCCATTTTTTGCCTTCGCCGCACATGTAGTATGAACTGCAATCGAACGGGTTAGGCCATACGAACCCGTTGTTAACCATAGCACACTCACGATCGGGCTCGTTTTTGCATGTCACGTTCCACCGCCAATCACACATTTGCAGATCCGGATTAAAGTACAGTTTATTGCCATGGTTATCCGAATCGCAGTCCATTTCATACTTTTCGCCCATGAAGCATTTGTAGAACTTGGTACAGTCAAATTCGTGGGCTATGTAAACTGTAGTATCCACAGAGTTGTACGGTGGACATTCCTTTAAAATTTCGGCGGAAGCATCACCTGTGCCCACTGCCAAGATGGCGACGATCGGTAAGTATAATTCTGAAACAAAATAAATGTTTAAATACACATGAACGGATTAAAAGTTTCGTTTCTGTTGCGACAAAGTCAGATAAAAAAAGTGATTGATCGGACGACGATAAATAATCGAAGGACTGCTAGTATCTTTCGACTGAAGACAAACGATTTATCTTGACTATTCTCCAGCATTTGAATAGAAAAGTTCTCGCGAGATCTAGGCATATTGTTTATAGTTTAAGCGAGCGAGTGTTTTTAGTGGGTGGGTCTTGGAAGGCAGACGCTGAGCGACCGCCACCCGACAAGAGTCGCATTTTCACTCGAGAAAAAAGCATTTGAATGAAAAATGTGGATTATCGCATCGAGAAATTACCGATTTGATTATTATGTAGGTATGTACTAGCGTAACAGAATTATTTTTCCCGAAAACTCTTAGAGGAGCGGATGACTGTAAAATTTGTTTACATGTCGATTTCGTTTTGATCTATGTCCTTCTATGTCACTTGTTCGCGTACAAGCGCGGCCGCCAGCGCGTAGCCTTCGCTACCGCGGCCGCTCGAACGGTCTACGCGCGCTCTGATTGGTCGGGGTTTTCTCTTAATATCTCCTTAACGAAGCCCCATCCGACATTTTTGCAAAGGAAATTGTTGTTCAAAATCGTCTCAGCTATCCCCCATTTCCGGCTCCTCCCCGACTTTTGGGACACCCTGTATATATATATATAGCAAATATCTGCAAATAATATCATTATAACGATATTGTTCAAATATTGATACAATTATTTGCGATGTTCAAACAATATTATTTTGGAAACCATCGTGCACGCACACTGTCGACACGAAACAGTGAGATTTCACATACTCCTTCGGTCGAATAGAGGCAAAGAATTTCATTCGCAAACGTCTTAACTTCATCGATACGAAGGTTAGTCATCGTTCGAGACTCAATTAACTAATCAGGTACCCACAATTAATATAACGGTCACACGTTGCAAATCGCAACGGTTTCATGTCTACCGCTGACTCAGGATTTATGGTACCAAGGAGGAATCGATCCGTGAGATTTCGAGTCGGGACGCAATGACGGCGCTTTTAATTCACGTAATCCCAAAGACTTAAAGGGGATCGAATGCTTAATAATCAGAAAACAATGTAGAAAAAGGAATCATTTAGAATTTTGTGCTTCAAATGACCACTTTTTCCAACACCAAGCATCTTTGTCTTTTTGTACACGTCTACAAACAACAGCTTACAAATTAGAAAATTTCTATATTTTTCAATTGTAGATAAGCCAACGTTTACGTAACAAACAAGTAAATTATTGGCCAACGATTAAATTACCTGAGTGTCCGACTTCGTGACACCATCCTACCCTGGCATCAACACCCCCACCCTCATCAAATTCCCAAAAGCAACCATACTGACGAGAAAAAATGTACACGACTTAAATCATTGTTTATAAACACGATACGCGTTATACGATGCTTAACGAAACGCAAATTAGTAAGCCGTAACAGCATACAGTGGGTGTAGAAAGTATTCGTACACCGATCAATTTCCAAAAGAACTATGTAAAATTGTAATTTATTAACTTATTTTTTATAAACAATGACATTCTACATATTTTCGGAAATCTCTAGAATAGATAGATTATAAAAAAAAATAGCTATTTATGTAAGTTGCAATATTAACAAGAAAAAAACAATTAATCGATATAAATATTGAAGCAATAAGTATTCGCACAACTGTTTAATTTATAAAACTTCATTAAAAAATAAAGAAACTTACATGAACTTATAAGTATATAATACTTCCTTCGTGGGATTTCCTTGTGATCTTATAATTATTGTAACTTTTCTAAGCATTAAATTAACCAAATTATTAGTTATTCAAAGTGGGATCTTCTTCAATTCCTCTATTAGAGCCATTTTTAAAAGCACTTTACTGGAAATTTGTCTTCTAATTCGTACGGAACAATAAACTAACGTATTGACGTTACAAACTCTACTGTAAATGGTTTGTCGTAAGAATCGTACAAATACTTATTGCTCCTATATTTTTATCCACTTTTCGCATATTTTTTGTTAATTTGAAAAATTATATTAACTAGTAAATGTTGTTTGGACTATATCTATCTTAGAGATTCCCGAGAATATGTAAAATACCATTGATTATAATAAAAGAAGTTAAGAAACTACAATTTCACGCAAAAGTTTTTTGGGAAATCAATCGGTGTACGAATACATTCTACACCCACTGTACGTACGAATAGGATTTTCAAACTCGATTATCTCACAAACTAAGCTTTAAATGAAACAATTTCATGTCATATCATAGGCTCAGTGCGCTCAGTGCTCAACATATTCTTACGTATTTTTACGCGAATGTAATATCATTTTTCTTAAACTAACGTAGCCTACGTTACTCCAGAGAAAGCAAGGAAGCTACTGTTCAAATTTGGTATCAATCGGTTGAGTAGTTTTTGAAATTTTTGTCTACATAAAAATAAACGCTATCTCTTTATATAATAATAAGATATGAATTTGACAAAGTTAAACGTCTTAATATTAATTACATTAAAGTAAGTCAACAATTAACGCAACGTGGTTAAGAGTTGTTGTTATTAGTAGTAGTAATAATAATATAATAATGTTGACATAAAAATGAAAAATTAAGAAACAGTAATTTCATTTTGTTAGTCGTGAAAATTGATCATCAAAAAGAAGTCATTAATTCATGTTTGTTAAGTTTTACTTGCTGCAAAAGTCGAAAAGAAAATATTCGTTTGCTACGTAAATTTATAACGACGTTTCTATCATTGAATCACAGATTTTGATAAAATCATCCTTCATAACAAAATGGTTACCTCTAAACTTAAAGGTTTCATTATTAACCAAAATTTCTCGTTCCTTTTAACATAAAATGAAAATTAATGAAAAATGTATCGATAAAGAAATATTACTGTCCAAATATGATGTCAATAGACTTATTATGTTTCAAGAAATCATGATAAGAATCTCGTGGAGCGCGGTTTCGAGATTAACACGTTCAAACCTCGAATGACACGTTTGAGCGGTCTGATAGGTTATCGAAAACAAAACATTAGGAACATATTTATAAATAGCCGAACGTTCTAACATTATAACAAAGAACTTCTCGAATTTTCAAATTTTTGATCGTTGGCGTACTCCTAAGAATTGCTTGTGTGTTAATAGTTATGTTCGAGTAAAAATATCCGTTTGCGAAACCTACGTTTAGACTTTACTACAGATTACAGCTATTTTTAAGTTCATCATCATGACAATTATCAATTGTTCTAGAAATGTATTTATTGGGCAGACCATGATAGATCATACACTAATTATTATAATACTATTACGGCATTTGAGACACATAAATTTCTAAGAATTTGAGTTTCCTTCAGTTGTTATTTGTTTTTTTTTTTTACATTATTATTAATTGTGTCAATGTTCATGCTGTAATCGTGTTTGTCTAATATATTCCAAGTGCAGATAGTTCGACGCTATTGCGATTTCAATCAATTTATGGTCGCGGTAGAAGCTCGATAAGACCAGGTACCACATTAAGTGTATCAAAATAAAAGCAAATGTTACAAAAGAAATCATAGTTCAAGCCATGAAAACGTGCGCAATGCTATCGGCCGCCATCGAAATTCTCTCATTATTATCGTACGTGCGAAATTAAAAGATTTCTTTATGAATATTTATTTCACATAAGAAATAATTGTCGAATGTCAATGTTTTTATACATAATAGTACACACGCTAAAGTAATAAACAAAATTTTGTTTTTTTTTTTCTTTAATCGTTATTTCCTTGACTTTTTTAATTGATATAGCCACGTAAAATTTGTCATCTTTTTCCACGGTTGATAGCTACTTCACATTGTATCGGCCTAAGGGAAAAAATGAAACACATGATTAAAATATACTTTTGTAGTTAACGTTCGTACTAGAAGTACAAGTATCCATTATTATTTAACAATATTTTTAAATGATTACAGTTCAGAAAGAAGTGTTGAAAAAATGCAAAAGTCTGTCATTTTATTTTTTTTCAATCAGAAACGTTTGGTTTTAGTACGGACGATTGCGTCAAAACTATATTATAAACGTCTTTTCGAATTTTTATTGTCGGATGATCCAATATTAAGTTAGGGTGTCAACCGTTGAAAAAAGGGGCAAGTTTCACAATTATATAACAATGAACAAAATGATTAAAAATAAACAAGAAACATTTTGGTTATTAGTTTAACATGCGAACTATTACGTGTAAAAAGATTGTCTATTCATAATTATTTGTCACATAAAATAAAAATTCTGGAAAAAAGCTTTTTTCCTCTCACACACAATGAAAACATATTTGAAAGTCAATTATTAAATGTTTTTTTGTGATTTTTATACCAGGAAAAATTTTCTTTATCTTTTCTTAACGTTGAGAATATTTTAGGTACGTTTTAAAGTACATTTGGTAATTTTTTCAATTGATTTCACCTAGAAATTTTTTAGAAATGAAATGTTCCCTGTTTCGTCCGAATCTGCCATTGGTGAGAGTTCTGAAGATCACAATTGTTATCTGAAATCAACGAAACTATTTTCCTACATTGTTGACATATTTTCCAAGAATATGAACTAAACTGCGGACAAAAAAGTTGGAAAGTAAACTTTTTAGTGGTATTTAAAAGAAAAAGTACCATGTTTCACCATATTTTGTGCAACTTGTGAACATATATAAAGTTTCAAAACGATCGGTTAATTAGTTTTTGGGATATCATTTCGAAGAATTAAAAAGAATGTTGTTTAAAATAAAACGCGATGTCTCAAACATTTTTGTCTGTAATGAATTGAAATAATTATCGAATGTACTTTAAAACATACCTAAAATATTCTCAGAGTTATAGAAACATTAGATAAATTCTCGACAGTAAAAGAAAATATAATAGCCTTAAACGAGAGGTATTGTCAAACATTCGTAATATAAAAATGACGTATTGAATTGTTTTCAAACTTTCAGTATGCTTTCGCTACTCGGTTCGACAGCGTGCGCAAGTGAACACTGAAAAGAAAACATTGGCGTTCTGTTGACAGCTTTGTGACAACAACGTACATTTAATAAAAACAAACAAACTACGACGATCTTTTCTTTACTCGTACCTTTCACCGAGAAATGAGACTTCGTACACAGAAAATAAGTACTCACCCTTCATCTAGTGAAAGATAATCACCAAAACTAGGAAACAATGCACGTTATTCTCGGTTATTGAGTACACACTGACAAATCTAAGAACACTAAACGATTTTTATAAGCATGAAACCTTATCACTAAGTAGCTGCATGAGTTATCATATCTGACTCCTACCTTTCGTGAGATACCCCCTTTCAATTTTTCAAATTGATACTGCGGTCATCTACGTTTCATTCATTTGATATGCATTCATGGCATAATCATGATACAAAATACTAACTTTATTCGTGTAATATTCAGGATTTAGATTATTTCATTGCATTACTTTTTCCTTACATATTTATGTGACGTTTGGAAGTTTACTGAATACGGAATGTAAGTCTAATAGAAATAAATCTAACTCCAAAAGAAGTCAGATCTTTCTAATAGCGATAGCATTAATAACGAAATTATCATATTTGGAAATTTGATAATGTAGGATTCTCGAGGAATAGGGAAGGTTCAAAAGCCCTTTAATTGTTGGTTATATATTATATTAAAATTACTCAACTCGCAATACACAAACTACATGCAAAGATTGATCGCTCAAGACTAACTCGCTCGTCGAGCTTCCATACGTTTATATCCATTCATCCCCTTGCATTCATCTCGCTTACACTCTGTTCCACGGATCCATTGGTTACAGTCACACAACGTTTATTCTTCGCTATCATTCGGCTTTCGGCGTCGGTCATCGATGATCTCATATAAACATTCATACCTATCATTCGATCTTAAACATTCTTTCAACACGCTTTCTCAGTCAAACGAACTTCCAAACATATCGGCGCCGGTCTGTCGCGACATGACCCGGTCGCTCTCACGCAAACACACACACGCACACGCACTCGCCACTCACCCCACAATAATGAGTTACTTTTATTTCTCGTCTTATTTATTTAAAAAGTTACGCACGAGAATAAATTACACACCACCTCTTTATCGACCAAATCGTAAATGATAACATCGATACAACGATACGTAGCATGGAGCATTTAAGGGGGCATTTCACTGTGAACGCACAAAAAAAAGCATATTTCAATAATTTTTTTTGTCAGGAACTATTACATAAAATTGAATGAATGTTTTTCCCCTTAAAGGTATGATTAAGGAAAGTGAATAAAAAATTTTTTTTGTGGTAAAAAATATTTCGTCATTTATTTACAAAATAATATGCATGTGTGCAAAAAAAAAGTTATCCGCTGGCGCAGGTGATTTTGGCTCTCCTGGTAATCTGAAACAAAAAATTGAAAAAGTTTATTAAACTATGTCGTGACACCTATCGTCGGAACCTCCAAGTAGTTGATATTTTCATTTTTACTTACAATTTCACCTGATTTACGGTACAAAAAAAAGTGTTTTTTTTTCTCTCTTTCACAAGAAACGCTGCCATTTTGTTTATTTTCGATGAAATAAATAAGTGAAGGTTCCGACAATCTATGCTCATTTCATTCGTGTTAAACCACGTGTCATCGTCCTGAGACTGTTTTCTTACAGTTTCATGAGAATCAGGGTGTATTACTCATCGGTGTTTCCTTTGTAAAAAATCTTATTGGTAAATATTAACACGTTCCGTGCTAAGGCGCTTCTGCCCGACTTTGTAGATCATGCAATCTGATATTTTGACTAAAGATTGATATATTATCATAAATATTTCATTACATCGACAATCCAGAAATACAGTTAGGTTATTTAGATCCGTTATCACATCGTCTAACCACTTGTAGTACACGTGACACTGCGATTAATTCGATTGCCCATTAAAAAAAAAAAAAACAGAAGAGTATTTAAAATCACTGACACTGATAGAACATTACACAACTGAACGGATACGGAACTGACACGTTTACGTTTATGTGTAAATAGATCTTATAAAGGAAAGTCAGTTTGAAACTTATCGATTAGTAAAAAAAACCTGCAGTATTCGAATTTGTTACAAACAATGCATCAGTGATGGACAATACATTTCACGTATTTCCTTCCTTGGGCCTGCAATCCCAAACGAGATTCTCCGTATCGATTTCAAAAACCGCATGGTACTTACCGTATCAATAGGACCGTCCGAAGTACTCCCTGGCCGAACCGAGTCTTTTCCACGGAAACTTAACAAATTTGGAAGCGTTATATCTCGAAAACTAATTAAAACCGGGTGTGTACATGACAGGTCTGTGAATTCGTTTTGAAAAGTACTATCAAATAGTTCGAAACCCAGCATATGGTTTCATTTAAAAAAACGAAACTTGACCATCATATCTCGTAAAATAACAAAGTTAACAAAAATTTCTTCTCGCTGAAACATGCGCCTCGTTTTACCATGTAATTTCCACATTAACAATTTTGCATACGGCCGATAGCTTTGGAGTTATAGCTTTATAACAGATGATGTGTGATATCCTGTATGTTAGATACTTTTACGAGACCAGTCAAAATGTACTTCTGTTATTCGTTGGGTTCGTTTTTCTGATTGGAAACCAAATGTAGTCTCCCAACGTTCGAAAGAATAAAAGTTTCTCATATATATTGACTCGTAATACTTAAAATATTGAACCGATTGGAAAATAATGTAAAAAGCGATGGTTTAAAATTCGATTATCTTTAAAATAGCGTCTTGCGCGACTCAATCGGACGTTTCCAACTCGAGATATGGTGTAAAATCTGAAGGTATGTCAGAAAAAAATCGAAAAAAATTCAAAAATTCATATAAAAAAAAACTTATCCATAGACAAATTTTTTCTTGCGATTTTCGAATTTAGTAGGCCAAAATACATAAGAAAAAAATTGTAGCATTGAATGTACATTTTGACTGTAAACTAGTGTAATCATTTACGATTCAATCTAAACGATTTTCACTACGAGTGACTGTAATAATCGAATTCATCCCATTTTAGTTTCTCATGTGTTGATTAGATGCTTCTATGATAATTATCTGATCGCATAATCATCCACATCGTAATCTAAATGTGGTTATTGCATCATTATCATTTGGCGATAAGGATTCCATTTCATATATAAGTACAACTCCATGCGTTCAAACTAGCCAGTTCGTACTAAACAACCAACAATTACGTTCGTTGCCTCCTAGTCTTAGCGATTACTATCCATCGCATGAGAGGTAAGAAATTACTGTGAATATTCAAAATTCTATCTATTGTAACAAAGCCAGGGTTAAGTAAAGAGTCATTCAAGTATACATTTGTCACCTTAATAATAACGATTCGTTATTTGAAAGCTAAATTCTCTAACAATAAGATGTAATCATTCAAGAGACTGAAAAACAATGTTATTTTTAACATTTTCATTTGACGCGATAACTTAACATTGGATTATACAAAAGCAATAAATCAAATAAATTACAAAAATATGGGGCATTCTATGCCAAATCAGCCAATTTTAAATCTGACAACTTTTAATTTGACTGAAATTTGTATATGTAAGTACCCTTCTAAATACATTTCTGTGAATTTCCCGATTTCGTTGCTGAACCAAAAATAAACAAGTTATGTGGCACAATTACTTCAAAAATGTATTTATTTTCTGTAAGTGTCGCATTTATTTCGGCGAGAGAAAGTACATCCGTTGTTATCTTTCTATACCAAATTAGAGCGCGAGCGTGGAATACGTTTTTGCCGTGGACTGTGAACGTGTTAATAACTCTGATTTAGTTGGTGGTACACTCTAAATTTTGTTACAAACATTCATACGTATCTTGAAATCCAAGGAAAATCTTCAGGTGTTCCGTTTTACAAAGGTCACCCTACATAATAATAAAATAAATACTATCCTTAACATTCTCGTTAAAAACGCGATTTCAGTAGGTACCCAATGGTTACAATATGTGATATTAAAAACACCCTATACGAGAAAAAGTTTAATTTACATTGAATAATTAATCACTTTAGATGAAATATGCTATTTCGTTCGTCACCGGATCTGTATAAAAATAACTTTAAATTTTTACAAAATTAAGATTGCATCTATGAGTGGATATTTCTGGCGAGGATGGGGTAGTTTTAGCTTTAAAAATTAGTAGGATCTCCACATCCGTGTGTTAACATTTGATGACTTAAAGTACTAAACTTTGAGGATCCAAAAGTTGTTTAGGTTCGTAATGTCTTAGAACAGTATTTCTCAACCTTCGTTGTGCTGTGCCCCACCTAAGCTTTTCTAAAATGCTTATGCACCCCTATCCATAGTATAAACATAGTTTTGAATATTTGAAAATAACCGTTTGATTATCATCGTGCGAAAAGTCACTTTATATATATATATTTTTTTTAATCGCAACAGGATACATCCTGATTAAATTCTGTCACAGAAGGCGTGGAAAATCTAATCGGTCAATGTTATTTTGTTTCAGAAATGAACTTACCGATCGTCGCCATCTTGGCACTGGCTGCCGGTGTTGCTTCCGCCGAAATTTTAACGGAATGCCCACCGTACGACTCTGTCGATACTACAGTTCACATAGCCCATGAATTCGACTCTACCAAGTTCTACAAATGCTCCATGGGTGAAAAGTATGAAATGGACTGCAATTCAGATAGCTATGGCAATCAACTGTTCTTCAACCCGGAGCGACAAGTCTGTGATTACGGGTGGAAAGTGACATCTCAGAACGATTCCTTAGAGAAGTGCCCACCAGCAGGATCATCCCAGACTCTACTTTTGGCTCACGAGTGTAACTGTTTCAAACATTACGAATGCCATAACGGAGAAGCAATCGCAAAAACCTGCCAGCCCGGTCAGATGTTTGATTATATTCTTAAGAAATGTGTTCAGGCTAAAAAAGCGATGTATAAATCTGGTTCCAGTCGAATGTCTCCGATAGAATTTGAGACAGATATACCTTCCATATTTCAATGTCCACCGAAAGGTTCTCATGAAACTAAGTTAATACCACACGAATGCATTTGTAATATATATTTCCGTTGCCAAGACGGAGAAGCAATTCGTGAGGAATGTCCACCTGGTCAAGATTTTGAC